CAGGGATCATGTGAAGAACATGACAAACCTGATAGGAATATAAACTGGAATAAGCTTTCTGGAGGACAATTTGACAGTTAATGTCAAAAGCTTTATAAAGGCCTGGTGTGGTAGCTCACGCCTGTAATCCCAGTACTTTGGGAGGCCAAGGCAGGCAGATCACCTGAGGTTGGGAGTTCAAGACCAGCCTGACCAACATGGAGAAACCCCATCTCTACTAAAAATACAAAATTAGCTGGGCATGGTGGAGGGTGCCTGTAATCCCAGCTACTTGGGAGGCTGAGACAGGAGAATCTCTTAAATCCCGGAGGCAGAGGTTGTGGTGAGCCAAGATTAGGCCATTGCACTCCAGCCTGGGCAACAAAAACGGAACGCTGAAAAAAAAAAAAAAAAAAAGAAAAGAAATTAAGAAATTTCTGGACAGGAGAGAAACTGAACATGTCAACGAAGTTTTAAAAGGTGTGAGCATTAACTGTACTTTGTTTCTCAGTGAAATCTTCTTTAGTTTGGAGAGAGTCAGAAACAAAGTTTTTCAGTAAAATAGCATGTTTCAGGATGTATCTCAGGCTACCGTGTATATTTAGTTTCTGAACTACCATCCTGATCAGCCATTTAAAAAATGCCAACATTAGTGAGGGAGGTAAAAGACAGTGGTGGATGTTGAATTCTTCGTCTTTCTTAAGTCTGATTATTACCCTAGCCCCTCTTTTTCTATAGCGTTATGTCCTAAAAAAGGTGACCCACCTTTCACCTTCCTAAGAAAGAGCACATTTCAGCTGGAATGTTATGTATGTCAACTTCTCTGCAATGTCTTGACCAAAAAATGGAACACCCTGACTTTGTTTCCCATCTGTCATTCTGTCTCCTGCATGGGAAATGAAGCTGTCTTTGCTGCCTCTGCTGAGGGCCCCTCCAAGTTGGCCAAGAGAGGCTGGAGGGATATACATCACATTACAACCTTCAGACTGCCAAGTTCTAGATGGTTTCAGCAATATACGTGAAAACCTCCAAAGCAAACACAGAGAGAGGAAATCAAAATTAAATTAATCCTCTCCAAGGGTAAATAAAGTATGGATGTGTTCCTCTTCAGCTGACAGGGTGGAAATCGGAAAGACCCCTTTGCTTGAGCTTCAGTGATACTGATGTTCAGATTCCTGATTCTTCAGCCCAGAAAATAGAATTGCTTTATGGAACTACAAAAATCGAAGTTTCTTACTGGTGTCTATATATGTAAGAAAGAAACACCTGATAGTTGAGATTCAAGTACATCTTCAAGCTGGTTTACGTGGGTTAGGGATAGAAAGCTGTCTTGTGAAAACAGCTGCTGTCTTGAGAGGAATCGAACTCTTTCTTTGATTATATAATCTCATCACAGTTTGGCTGTGTCCCCACCTAAATCTTGTCTTGAATTGTATCTCCCATAATTCCTACATGTTGTGGGAGGGACCTGGTGGGAGATCATTGAATCGGGCCAGTTTCCCCCGTAGTGTTCTTGTGGTTGTAAATAAGTCTCATGAGATCTGATGCTTTTATGAGGGGTATCCCTTTTCCCTTGGCACTCTCATTGTCTCTTGTCTGCAGTCACGTAAGACGTGACTTCCACCTTCCACCATGATTGTGAGGCCTCCCCTGCCACGTGGAACTGGGGGTCCATTAAATCTCTCCTTCTATATAAATTACCCAATCTCAGATGTGTCCTTATCAGCACTGTGAAAATGGACTAATACAAATGTCAAAGAACATAGTGCGTTTGGATATCATACAATTTCAGGCAGATACAAAGGGCTTTGACTTCTAGTCTTCATTTTTATGAATTAGAAAATGGGAGCAGAGGAGGAAACCTCGCTTTTCTGCAGACTCCCTGCCACTGCACAGCTGAAAATCCTGTTGTGTCTTTCAGTTTTGATGATCACCTGAAATGATTCTGACTAATGTCCTAACTAGTTTTTAATCAACCTCTGAGAGGCCATTATAGACAAACTCCAGCTACCTACTTCTCTGCTTGCAGAAGCTGAGTTATTTTTGAGCAGCTTACTTGAAACTCAGTTATTTTTTCAACAATCCTCCCTGAAAGATAAGACCAAAGAAGAACCTCCTTTGGTTTTACTCAATGCTGATAAAATGCCTTCTATGTAGAAACCTAATTTAACAATGAACGAACTTTTATGAATCGTGCTTTTGCCTTCCCGCTGCAATGCTTCTTGACATCCTTATTTCAGATGTAATTACAATGCTTAATTATCTTTTCTCAGTTTGATTATTGACTGAGTTACATACCACACACCATTCTGGTGACTTTTCTGAGAGGCTATCTCTACATTAATTTACATTTGGAGAATATTAGCAGCCATAGATACTTCATTGCTTTTCTTTTTTTTCAGAATGGTGTCTCTCTCACACTCAAATACAAATGCCAAAATGTATTTGTTGATTAATGTTTTTGGAAAATTACATTTTTCCTTAAAAAGAACAGTAAACACTGGAATACCCCCAATAAAATGTGCACTAAAATATTCTCCTCAATCATTGAATGACATTTTCAGGTGGTAACAGCTGGCCGGCTCCCTGTTTGTGGTGAAGTCATGGAGAACTTTGTACTAGTCCATATAGAATTAGAGTTTGTCAGTCACGTCAACATTTCAGCCATGGGAAAAAATGAGATAATGATAACACTAAGACATAAGTAAAAAATAACATCTGTACCATTTATGGAATTGAGAGGCAAAGGAAGTAGGTTTACTTCCATGCCATAAACATTTGGCCGAATTTCCTCATTAAACGATTGGAGGAGCAAAAGTGTAGCTCACCAAAGTTAGTAAGTGACACAAGTTTTAATTGAGCTTTTGTCTATTATGCACGTATCTACATTCAGAATCCAATGCAGTTTTTTCCCAGTGCTTTACATATTTACTTCTGCAAATCATTAAAACCACTGAAGGCAAGGCTGTTGCTACCTTACATGGCGTTTTGTGTGCATTAAAAAAAGGCAATTCTTCCCAAAGAACTTTTTTCGATTTTCAGAAAATTAGTCTAAGTATCATTTGTTAGAAAAAGAAACCTTATTGAGAATTTTGGGGTAAAATTCTTTTAATATATAAGGAGGTGCTAAAGTTACAATCAAAAACAGATATCTTACATGTGAGTTGAGCCCCTTAGATTTGGTGCACTAGTATAATGTACAACCTGAACAACGATCCTGGTCAGCTATCTCAGAGGAGAAATTACACTAGGAGCTGTAAATTTATCTAGTTTCGCCTTCCTGACTTATAACCAAATAGAGAGGAGAGAACCAGGTTTAAATAAATGGCATGGCCTTCTATCAGTTGGTTAAGTGTTTGAATTTCAGTAGGCTATTAATTAACATATCCATAGTAGGGAAAAACAACTGTAAAGATGAGATGTCAGCCAGAAATAATTAGGCAGACAATTGGTGTTCCCTAAATGTTTGCTGAAACCCACTGATGTCATGAATGTGAGCCAGCTTTAATCTACGGCAGTAACATTGGTCTAAATGTGTGAATTTCTGAAAAAAGTTTTAGGACGCTCTGCCAATGTATTGTGCTGTTCAGTTTTATTTGTTGCTCATTAGTTACTTTGACATTGTGCTAAGTGCTTTTTCTCTTTGTAAATGGCCATGATAATTCTATGCTTTAGGTTATCGTTTTAATTGTTCTCACTGCCTAAATGAGGAAAGTGAAGGTTAGTGCAGGATGGAGACACTATTTCAATGCTGACCTCAAACGAAGCTCATGCCATTGATGAGCATGTGAGTTACAAAATGACAAGTAGCTTTTTACTACACCAGAAAGAATCAGTATGTAAAATATAATTATTAAAAGGTACAAACAAATGAGTGTGCATAGCATTTAAGAACAGATATGTTAAGAAATGCAGGGATCATGTGAAGAACATGACAAACCTGATAGGAATATAAACTG